GGGAAAGGCAGATAAAAAAAAAAGTGTAAACAATAAGAAACAGAGAAAAAGAAACGTTAAATATAATCTTGGTTTCAAAGAAGTAGTAAAACAATAGCAATGAAAGGGTTAAGGAGTCAAATAATGTCACGTGACACGTCCAATGTCTAGTTTATAATTGTGCCAAGAAATAGCAAATCGAAGTTTTAGGGAGGGAGGCACTTGACTCTCCGTGGGTAGAGACAGAATCAGGAGAGTTTGATGCAGTGACGACGGGAATAATAAAAAAAAAAAGAGTATGATAAACAAACAGGGAGGAAAAGGAGAAGAAGAAAAAAAAACCTGTGATGTGAACAGAATATAAGGATGAAACTAAGGAGGAGACAGACAAGAAAAGGACAAAGAATGATAGAGAGAAACAAAAAAACTAAAAAGACGCCAGAGAGAGAGAAAAAACAGAGAAAGAGAGGCGTAGCGAAGCATTTCTTCGTTGAGCCGTTACTAATAGACAATTGCCAAACAAGAGAAACCACATCTCGACTCCGGACGCCACCGACTATGTCAGTTGCTACACGGACGGCCAAAGCAAGAGGGGTAAAAAGACACACTTCGCAAGTTTGGCACAAACAAGTCCAAACTTAATTTTTTTCCCAGAAAGAAGTAAAGAAAAACAAAAACCCGAAGGTGGAACTAAAGTAATTACCGGAAAAAGTGGGTACAAACATACGCAAAAACATTTTTTACCGAAAAGATAGTACGAAAAATTAAACAAGAAAAAGAAAATTTTGCTACAAAATGGACGCACGCCAGCTTCCGGTTGCGTCCAGTTACAACCAATCTGACCTGTTTCGAATAAACAGACGAGAATTACATGAACAGGACTCAGTCATTCTCCAACATCAGTCACCGATTTCAGAGGGTACTGTCTGCTACGTATCGAGGTACCCCGGTTTCCAAACGACACCCGAAACAATTAATAGCATATCTAGACGGGAGCCACCCTCTTATAATGAACATGCGTTTCCAAACCAACAACACCATCAACAACACCTTCTTTTCAATTCCACGCAGCAACCTGCGTCGGAGGTAGGATTGACTTTTTTCCGAAACGGAACGGAAAGTGCCGAAAATCAAACTTTCAGTTCTTATGAATCTCTACCTTCAGTTGAAGATATCGTTTTATCAAAAGGGACGGATATTAGTGTACACTTGGATTATCACCAGTTTCCTAAATATGAATCAGAAACCAATAACGGAATACTGGCAGTGACAGATCAGCTGACTTCACCCAAAGAAGCTCTGTCGACTATGCCAAGTGGTACGACGATGTTTCTAAACGAACACCCCCGTTTTGAGACGGACTATCGATACAATCCTTTTAGTAGTGCAGGTAACGTTGGCGGTGAACCTTTGGACACATCAAACCCAAATGCAAGGATCGTCGAGAATTCAAGCATGACACAATTTCCGTTGAAAACTCAAATGCACTTACAAACAAAATCACCATTCGGCTTGAAAACTCTCAGCTTCGAGAAGAATCCAAAACAATTTCCATTTTTTGACCCGGATCTCACTTGTTGCTCACCACCCCAGCCTCCACCCGAAATCGATGAACAACTCCCGAAACACTTACAGGGTCATCATCAGAATGACACCGATTGTCTTCATGCCAATAATATCAACAACTCAATTACTGGTTGCCCAATCGACTCAAATAAACCAAATTTGGATAAGGTGGTTGATATCGAGAACAGCAAGAGTATCTGTAACCCAAACGAGCAGAATAATACGAAAACTGAAGCTGAATCTGGAGAAGCAGACAGTGACCCGACAGTAGACACCACAACGCAATCACACGGTGAAGAAGGTCAAGAGAACTGTAACCAAACCAAAGATTCTTCAGTCGATTGCGTAAAACCAGCCCTTTCTTACATCGCTTTGATAGCTACGGCCATACTAGAATCGTCGCAACAGAGACTTAGTCTGGGTTCGATCTACTCATGGATCGAAACTAATTATCCTTATTATAGAAACCGGAGCCAAGGTTGGCGAAATAGTGTTCGTCACAATCTCTCTCTGAACGACTGTTTTGTGAAAGCTGGTCGCTGTGAAGATGGTAAAGGCAATTATTGGGCCATCCATCCGGCTAATGTTCAGGACTTCATGAGGGGTGACTTTCGACAGAGACGCCGTTCGAGGAGACGAGGTCGTAAATCTAATCCTTGTGACCTTAATATTTACCCTAGTGGTTATCTGCATAGTCCTTCCGGGTTAGGTATGACCCCACAAGCTCTTTCTACCTTTACACCTGCCCTAAACCCTATTTATTCACCATACACGGAGGCAGAACGGCAGGCTTACCGGCTAGATGAAGCTCTGCTACGTCAAACTATGAACAGTCCTTTTGTGAAGTGGTATCACAGCCCAGTGCCCTCAGCATCTTTCTCGTCAAATGCGAATGACTTCAAGGGGTCGGGTGCGCAGTGGCAGACCTATCCAGAAAAATCTATTCACCAACTAGGAACATTTTCCAGGTGATTCTCTGCAGACCGTAAACATTTATCTTATTTTAAAACAAGAGCTTAAATGAGGTGAGAGTTTTTGTTTGTTGTACCATCGTGATCGATTATCTGTTTTCATTTTAACATTTACCGACTGATACTTATATTCAAATAATTTTTGTCTGATTGTTTTTAAATATATTTAGATAATACGCCACGTGTATTTGTACTTTTTTTCCTTTAACATTTCTGTGCTAGAGTTGTCGCCATTGAACTGGTGACGCCTCGTGGTAGTGTCTTTCTTATGACATTAGTGAACTGTTCAAAAAGGTTTTCCCATTTTAAAATAGAAAGACCGACACAGTGAAAGTGAAGAGTATAACAATATTGTTTTTAATATTTAAAAACTCACATGTAAAAAAAGAACTTATAATATTCGGAAAATAACAAGATAGCAATTTCCTATAAGTTGATCTTTTTTTACAGTGAAGGTAAATACGTTTTAAAGAATAAAAAAATTAATTGAACCTACGATAAAAGTAATCGCCTCAATATTTTTTTTTGTTTTTTTCAATACAAATTAAATTCAAAGATTTATATCTGTTTTCTTTAATCGCTACTTGTAATGTTATACGTGTGTCAAAATCTGTTCTTTTTATTTCATAAGGTTTCTATCCATATTTCTACACTTAATATCCATTTTTAAAAATAAATTTGTCGCTTCTAAAATCAATATTATTTCAATTGAGCTATGCCTAATTTTTCATAAGGTACGACTATTAGAAACACATCTACAAAAGATCATAGACTAGTGATCGCTTAAAGTGTGAAAATATACGATGTTGATTTCTATGTCCACACCGTTTTATATCTTCGAATGTTCTTCCTTGATATTAAGCACATTTATCTCATAAATATAGCAAATATTAAACAATACATGCATATATATATATATATATATATATATATATATATATATATATATATATAGTAACAAATAAAATTAAGTATTCCCTTATCTGTCACTCCCTATTCTGAGTTTCGCAAAGATGTAGCCACTCGTCAAGTAGGCTTGATCTCAAAACTTATTATTTTTTTTACACAACCATATTTTTCTTCTAATATATCTGTCAACTGTTTTTACTTTTTTTGAAACACAATCTTTGATATATATATATATATATATATATATATATATATATATATATATATATATATATATATATATATATATATATATATATTTATTTATTTAACCATTTTGTATATATATATATATATATATATATATATATATATATATATATATATATATATATATATACATACAAAATAGTTAAATAAATAAATATATATATATATATATACATACAAAATGGTTAAATAAATATATATAATATTAATGCCTAAATAATGACAACTGTTATGATTATACATATTAAAAAGCTCTTTTAAAAGTAAAAAATAGACCGCTCCTATATACATAAGAAAATGAACATAAAAATCATATATATATATATATATATATATAGAGAGAGAGAGAGAGACAGACAGACAGACAGACAGACAGACAGATAGAGACAGAGACAGAGAGAGCCGGTACGTACTAGCCACGAATCCTCCAACCAGGGAGGGGCAGGCCTAATTGCGGACACCGGCCAACTGTTTCGTGACACTCACTATCTTATCAACTTTTACTTTTTTCTACCTACATTTATAATATACTCACAAAATAAACTAAGCACTACTAATTATTAAAGGATGAAATATTGTTACGGATTTTGACGTCATTTTGGCTTGATTTTTTTTTCTTTACCAAATTCGTGAATTTGTTTTGATCATTCAAAAAAAACCCGATATAAAATTCACTATTTTATATCCATAATGTTGGATTTGTTAAAATAAAGAAAAATCTCAAGTTGATGTTAAAAATTGCTGCAAAACATTGTTGATTTAATTAAGAAGATGGAATGTTCTATGATGACATGTCTTCAGTTTGTACTTAGTTACATTTTATTTCATTTTCCTACTTTAACTGTTCCCTATTGCAGATGATTCATTATTGTTCATAATTAGGTTATAATAAAATTTGTTTTTTATATGAACACTACCCTTATGAAACTTGATATGTAGAAGAGTGCAAGGGCACCGTATCATAGATTCGAGTGAGAGGGAGCATAAACCCTTGTACCGGCCACGTACACATATATGTGTATATGTGTAAAGGGCCACTGCTATATATATATATATATATATATATATATATATATATATATATATATATATATATATATATATATACACACACACACACACACACACACACATATATATATATATATATATATATATATATATATATACATTCGCAGACAGTACAGGCAGTATAAACATATGTATCAACACTAAATGGTAACTATCAATTTCGTGCCTCAGTTCGATATTTAAACCAAGCTTTATCTCCGACATTGACCACTCTTCTGTAAACATAACAAATTTATATATATATATATATATATATATATATATATATATATATATATATATATATATTGAACAATAAAAAAATATTAAAAAATTAAAAAATTAAAATCTTCAGACACACTGGGTTGTAGATTAATATTCTTTCGTTTTTTTATTATTATTTCATTTAGATTCCTTTTTTTATTATTATTTCATTTAGATTCCTTCAATTATAATTATTTAAAAAAAATATTATTCCATCGCTACATAAGAGTTCTCATGTTTCAAAAACAGAAGCTAAAAACTTCAATTCAATTATAGAAATTAACTTACCTAGTTCTTTTTCATCCTCATGCTAATTTTGGAATGTCAATGTATATATATATATATATATATATATATATATATATATATATACATCCTAATTTACCTCTTGCTCTTTAAACTATATTTCTCACCTTCTTTCATCTATCTCCTAACAACATAACCTATTTATCATATCGTAACTTTAGATAATGGTGGTTGCTAACATCTTACTTCATAGCTTATATGTTTGCCTATCATCGACGTTTCTGGACAGTGTTCGAACTAACGTAGAATCTACATTTCTGATTGCTTCCTCCACTTGAAAGACTTGTGTAACCCTAACCCTCCCTGTCTCTTCATGTTATCCTATTTAACATTGTACTAAGTTAAGCTGTGTAAATAATATTGGTTGCAAGCTGAGCATCGAAAAGTTGTACCTGAAGATTGTTTGCAATGAGAATAAAAGTGTTCATCTTTCCCTTGATACAAATGCTTGTTTCATATTAACACATGAGGCGGGAATTTTAAGAGCGGAATTCATTGAATGATGTTGAGTTTTATATCAAAGGGCTGTTCTCGTAATAGCAAAAAAAAACCTATTTCATTGGTTTTGTTTTCGTCTTCATTAAAAAATCAATGCAGAATCTCAAAACACTTTGTTATTGTCTTTGTTATTCAACGCAACTAGAAACATTAATCGTGAAATTAAAATTTTGAAAAATACCGATTGATTTTTTTTTTATGTTAACAAAAGCTAATATTCTTGATGGGATTAAGAATTCAAATGTAAACAAAATTTAACACGTTCGATTACGAAAATAAGTCAGTGTATTACCTTCATTCAATTTATGCGTGGCGTCTATTTGAAATAACACGACTAGAGAAAAATTCGAAACTTTAAACGTTTTATTTTTGCTAAAATAGCATCGTAAACAGTTTTTCTGCACTATCAAACACATTCACGCCTAGATAAATATCAATCGTCTTATTAAATAAAATTTGCGTATCAAATGTCCTATAGAATTATGTGCTCGCAAATTCTCGTGATGGATGAGATTCAAAGTCTCTTTAAAAAATAAAAGATGACTGATTTCGTATTATTGTTTGTAGAGCTCCTGGAATGGAAAACAGTCTAATGTCTGATTGTTTTGTAATATTTTCATCTCATAACAACGAATAATAGATCTCTCATTTTCAGCTCAAACACTTCATATTTAGAATAGTCTATATTCGCGCATGAATGAGTGTCTGTGAAATTACAATAAATATCTTCATGTGACTGAAGTAAGGAGGCCTTTTTAATTTGACAAATAAAATGAGTTGAAATCTATTTCGAAATTCTTGATCTGTCAATCCATAAAAATGGGAATATTAAATAAATGTCATCCCCTTTGCAATGTACAAAGTTTACTTTCCCTTAGTAAGTGTCTTTGTCAAGATGTTTGACATGAAATAAAATGAATTCTCATTACATTGCACTCACTTTCGCTCCTTTGCTGTTTTAGATTTCCTCTTCAAAATTGACTCTACACTGAATTATTTCCGGATTATATTAGAATAAACATTCTTTTGTAGCAATGACTCCATAGACTAACAGTGTAAAATGAAGAGTTTCATTCGCGTTTTGGTAGTTATATGTAAACTAGTCGATCAAATTTCACATCTAAATTGTTTGTCCATTTAAAATATTAAATTTATTATAAAATATATTCAGTTTAAATAGAGGACTTGAAAAGACCGCACATTTCAGTTTATAATTGTTTCTTGTTACCCAAGTATAGTTGCCGAACAGAAAAGGAAATTAGCCCTTTGTAACATAGATGTTTATTTCAATTTCATTCTAATTGTTTATATATGCATGAGTGTGCGTATGTATAGTTTAATTCAATGACAGACCTAAAAATATACATATAATTATTCTCAAATCATTAAAAAGATAATTCTATTTATTACCGAATAATTTTCGAAGTTTCAATATTTCAATAATATAATAAAATTATCTGACATTTTTAAGGTTTATTTTTTTTTTTTTTTTGTTACTTATCTCAGAGCAAGTCATGTCGAGAAGAAGTGGAATATATTATTACAATGTCTCATTTCAAACTCAGTGAAATTGTATGTGTATATGGATGCGTGTGCATGTATGTACATTAAATGGCACAAGCACGTATAAGCGTCTACTCAAATCCATTAAAAATAAATGACGTTCTTTCGGGTTAATAAATAAATAAATAAATCTATCGCTTCTTTA